TCAAGAAACCAGTCTGAGATGATTCACGCTTTATGACATGGTGTGTTTTCCTGCTGGAAGTAGCCATCAGAAGATGGAGACACTGTGCTCATAAAGGGATGGACATGGTCAGCAGCAATACTCAGGTAGGCTGTGGTGTTGATGCTTAATTGGCACTAATGGACCCAAAGTGTGCCAAGAAAATCTCCCCCACACCATTACACCACCACCAGCACGCCTCAAGGTTGGACGTGTTGTGTGTACAGAGATGCTCTTCTGCAGACCTCGGTTGTGCTTATTTGAGTTACTGTTGCCTTTCTATCAGCTGGAACCAGTCTGGCCATTCTCCTCTGGCCTCTGGCATCAACAAGGCATTTGCGCCCACAGAACTGCCGCTCACTGGATATTTCCTATTTGTCGGAGCATTCTCTGTAAACCCTAGAGATGGTTGTGCGTGAAAATCCAGTAGATCAGCAGTTTCTCTCAGAGCAGCCCGTCTGGCAGCAACAAACATGCCACGTTCAAAGTCACTTAAATCCCCTTTCTTCCCCATTCTGATGCTCGCTTTGAACTGCAGCAGATCGTCTTGACCATGTCGACATGCCTAAATGCATTCAGTTGCTGCCATGTGATTGGCTGATTAAAAATGTGCGTTAATAAGTAGTTGGATAGCTATACCTAATAAAGTGGCCGGTGAATGTAGTGTGTATATGTGACACATTAAAAACAAAACAATATTGTTACATAGATATTTAAATGTATATAGATTTTGTATCATTTACATTTATCGAATAATAAAACGCTTTCTCAGATATATGTGTGCATTTATATACATAATAAATAAACATATTTTACACACTTAAATTATGTCAAAACAAAAACCTTTATTTTGGATGCGATTAATTTTTACACTGCATGCGACTAATATATATAAGACTAATATATGACCCAACACTGCCAAAAACACAGTCATATTTGCAATACTCTAACATTCTTTAACATATTACAATTGCTGTTTTGTATTTTGATTTTATTTTAAATTATGATTTCTGCGATTTAATTTTCTGCATCATTTTACATCATCATTCAGCCTTTAGTGTCACATGAACCTTCAGAAATCATTCTTCTAATATGCTTCATATTTTCAAAGAAACTTTGATGCACAAAAAATAAATAAATAAATCCTGTTTAAAAAAGTGTGTGTGTGTGTGTACGTACATGTAGGTGTGTGTTATAAAAAAGAGAAATAGAGAGAGAGAGAAAGTGTGTGTGCGGGAGAATACATACACATGGTATGTGTACTAGAGAGTAGGGATGTACCGATACCATTTTTTTGGAACAGTTTTGATCCTGATAGCAAAAATCTGAATATCGACCGATACGGAGCCGACCCCAATATTGTGCTGTTTTTTTTTTCTTTTCTTTTTAACATAATGCAGTAGTTCTGGTGATAAACTTAAATAATAGATCTTCTTTAGTAAACATGATTGACTTAATAAACTAGGCTACATTATTTAAGCATTTGTTATGACACTGATCTGTTATGGTCCAGCTTATGTTTCCTTTTTTTAAAAATAGATTTTTCTTTTAGAACTGCAATAGGCTGCCGCTATTGACACTAGTCGTTGGTAAAATAATCAGCATTTTAGCAAAGCCTGATAATTTCCTGCAGGTTTGAAGCAGACTGAACTAAACTGTCTGAGGCCAGTTTTACTTAATAAACATTCCCTCACCAAAACTCGCCGTAAAACATGGTCTGCTTTTATCAGAGGTGTCAAACGTACGGCCTGCAAACAAATGTAATGCGCCCCGCGAGATGATTCTGTGAGCTGCAATTTTTCAATAAAATATACTGCTGTTCCAATTGTGCAATGGCAAACTTAGGTTGCTTTCACACCTGTGAATTGATTTAGTTGTTCCGAAGCAGAGTCCCGCTCAGCTGTCAGAGGAGGTTTTGGTTTGGTGGTGTTTGACAAGGTGCGCGCAACGTGTCTAATGCTGTGTTTACACCAAACGTGGAACGCGCGGATAAATCATGCTATTCGCGCGTAAATAGCCGTGTGAACATTTGAGTTTACTCGCTACATTCGCGCGTCAAACCCCGCTTCAATCGCGTGTCAAACTCACTTCAGAACAGACGCGGATTCGCGTGATGGGCAGGGCTTCTGTCTGCCCGGTGACTCTAGCTTAATAGCTAAATGGCTAACATGGATTTTATGAAGAAAATAACAGTGTTTATGTGCTTTATGAAGACTGAAAAACAGCGTTGATATGTTTAGGGCCGTGTCTGAGTCCAATACATCCATTCAGAGGTGCATCCAGCTCTGTGAGCTCATAAACTCCTCCAGAAAGTGAACCTGGATGACAGAGGCTTTCAGCGGTGCTTCTGACTGAGCCAAGCCCAGTTTGATGACTTGTTGTCGGTGTCGGCTGGTGGATTTCCCCCGGGACACCATCAACAGGTTCTACGTCACAATCACGCCCCCACAAGAGCAAGTTTCTGATTGGTTAACGCGGCGCGAATGTCTGCTGAAGTTCAGATTTTTGAACTCAAGCGATTCGCGCGAAACGCAGGTCAAGCGCGCCAAACGTGCAAAATACTCAATTTGCGCCGCGCCATTCGCAACGCGTCATTCGCGCAATTCGCATTATTCGCAACGCGGCATTCGTGCATAGCGCGTCGCAGGATGTCTATTTGTGCGTTTGCATTGACTTAACATGTAAATCACTCGCGCTTGACGCGCTTGACGCGCTTTCCGCATCTGGTGTGAACGCAGCATGAAAAGCGAGGAGGGATACAGGGGGGAGGGGTGAGAAAGGTGCGCAACGTATTTGGGGACGGGGATGGAGATGCTTGATTTCCGGGAGATTATCACTCGTTTGCGGGCATCCGGGAGTCTCTGTGCATTTGCGGGCGACTTCTGAAACTTCCGCGAGACTTGAGATGTTTGGAATGACCTTCTGCCCTACTCATAATTCTCTCTTCATATAGCCGTTTGCCTATTACATATCCATAAAACACTGTGATATAACCGGGCTTGAATCGTATTGCTTCCTCACTACAATCAATCCGCTCCGGAGTTTGTTTCAATCAAGCCGAGGCCACCTTATTCAAGCGATCTCGGAGCGATTGATTTGGAGCAGATTCCGAGCGTGATTGCTGGATTCACATATGCCAAACGAACCACGCTAACTAAGCAAATGAGACAGGTTCTGAAACAAAAATCTAGGTGTGAAAGCACCCTTAATTTCATCCCATGCAGAAGCCTGAGTCAGCGTCAGTTTGACAGCCATCTCAGAGAGAAAGAAGTCATCTATAGCGTCATACCACATCAGTGCTTCCCACACATAGACTTTACTTGTCCGGGCCGCCCAGGTATATTTGGTGGTGACACATGAATTATACTTTTATTATCATCCTTTTACATTTTTTGTATCAATCCAAGAAAACTAAACATTCGTGATCGATTAACCAGTGGAAAATCTTCTTTCGCTCTGCTCGTTCTGTGTGTGCGCGCGATCTGTCACTCATACAGAATTTCTCACGTGATCTGCAGACACTCTGAAACGCGCCTTTTCTGCCAGAATGCATCCGACCGTAGTTTCTGAATCTCCTAAAATGTCCAGAATTCAGGTTTTACTTTCGCATTCTAAAGTTGCCGTTATTTGTGTGCGTTTTTTCATTACCATGTCTGCGCACACAGCCGCGAGAGAAACGTCAAATAATTAATCATTTAATAAACGACTTAGATAAACTTTATACCCAGAGAGAACAAAATGACATTTATAATGGCTGCAAAATATTTTTACACCATCAGAAACGGCTAATCAACTAATTTGCTTAATTTAAATAATCTATTTTTATATCTATAGATCTATAAATCTTTTTTATTCTAGTAATTATTATAATTTTTTGCAATAATGTCTATTTTTATTCATTTTTTCTGATATTTATTTCTCATTTGCTGCTTGTTTAATTAAGTTAATAATGTTAATATATTACATACTTAATATATCTAAAATGCTTTGACTACTGTAAATGATGTCATTCCAATATAGCAACTTTAGAGAGAGAAAGAGAAAGAGAGAGAGAGAGAGAGAGAGAGAGTATCATTGTAAATATACTGATTATTATTGTTTTTATTACTGTTTTATCCTAAAAGTTTATTCTGATCTATTTTTGTATTGATTTGTATGAATAATTAATGTTGAATAATAATATAATATATTGAATATTAATGTGATATATTGAATAATATGATGTATTGTTGATATTTTATTTAATTATTATATATAAATATCATCTTTTTTGTTGCTACAACTACTATTTACTGTGTGTACTGTTTTGTTATTATATATGTATGTTACTTTTTATGTAAACTTTATAACTGCTTTTGCAATACATTTGTAACAATTGTCATGCCAATAAAGCAATTATTGAATTGAATTGAATTAAATTGAGAGAGAAAGAGAGCAAGAACAGAGCACCCTTTACCTGTCAGTGGGTGCACATGTCTCCTAAATAGCATAGTTAAAAATCTTTTTCTTTTTTTGTTTGTCGCATGTAATTGACAATTTCTGTGCTGCGGGAAAACCACCAAGTATATTTCAAACCTGTGGGAAGCCCTGCACACTGAGCTGATCTCACGAAGATATGTAACTATGTTACATTTTGTCAGTTTAGTGGCTATTTCGTATGAGTTAAGTCGTATGAAAATGTACCCGTTGAAAAAGGAGGCGTGGTAGCTAACCACACCCCACCAGCTGACCGATACCCGAAAATATACAGTATCGAACCGATATCCGATCCAAGTATCGGGATCGGTGCATCCCTAGTGTGTGTGTGTGTGTGTGTGTTAGAGAGAGAATATATACACATGGAGTTTGTACTATAGCGTGGGTGTGTGTGTGTTTAGGTGTGTTATGTGAGTGTGACAGAGAATGAGTGTGTGAGAAAATATATACACGTTATGTGTGTACTAGAGAGTGTGTGAGAGGGAGAATGTATATGTGTGTCTGACCTGTTTGTCTGCTTGGTCCGCTATACTGTACACCAGAGGAGGGATTGAACCTTCAGACTTTTTTCCCACATTACTGCGGAAGTGTTCGCTCGCTGGCAGACAGCTGAAAACACACACACGCACACAATTAGTCATTCACCACAGTAAACAGTGACTTGTTTTTGTTTTAAGTACGTCAGTCATTGAGTGTGTAGTTATTTACACACACACTTCATTCATTCGTATAGCTCTACAGCAGGTGTACTAGCGTTCTTACCTGGCCGGTAGCTTGTAAATGTAGCTGCAGCCGTCTTCAGTCCAGATGATGACTTTATCAGCGGCGATGAATTCTCCTCCAGCCCACGACTGATTGTTCTCACTCGACACCGAACACAGCAGAGAGAAATCCCCCGCATCAAACACCTGCAGCACAGATCATCTTCATCAGTTTCTCAGCAGCAGAAGTGGTCATAGTAGGTAAACTCAGAGCTCAATGAATGAGAGAGTACAACAAATGATTATTCTACACTCCTATTTACTGAAACAATAACAGGAAAAACTCCAGGATGAGTGTTATCAAGACTTTCAGAATGAGAACAACAACATTCTACTGCACAACACGACATGTTTGCTATTGCCACCGGTCTCTTTTTGCAACCGGGGGCCCGTGTGACGTCATGTGTGACGAAGGCTGGTAATTCGTCTATAAGGCCCCGTTTACACTAGTGCGTTTTAGTTTTAAAACGGCGTTGTAGAATGAAAACGATCCGCGTCCACACTCGCGTTTTACCCAGCGTTTCTGAACTGCTCTCCGTCCACACCAAAACGCTGAAAACGCACATCACGTGACCACACACACACACTCTCGGGCAAGCGCTCCAGCATTTCTACCCAGATGAGAGCTCTGCTTGTCGGACTGCTCATCACGCATCTCCCGCTGGATCTAATCTCACTATATTTGCTAAACGTGATATTTCATTCATGTTGTTGTCTTTATCTAACGACATAGGCCAATTCTCTGACTTTGGTCATTGGAATCTATTAAGTTACTTGTTCACGGGTAACATGTTTTGGTTAAGCACAAAGATAAGTCAATGATTAATCCAGGTACATTGACTGATCGCTCGTCTTTATTTCCTACAATGTATAAACTTATTGTATGTTATACTTTTATAATTATCGATTATTAAAACTGATATTCAGCTAAAGAGAGGCTGTGTTTCGTATTTTCACTGAAATTGAAAGGAGGCAGTTGTTATCGGCTCCGTTTTGTTATAAATATCCACACAGTGAAGATGACGCTCATATATGCAGCACGACGCCTCAACATTTCTGCTGTCTAAGTTGCTAATATTAAAATGAAAATAGGCAGTTCCTTAAATCATGTTTACATTTTATTGTTGAGAAAGTGAAACAACGAAGCCAAGGTGATGTGGATGAAGTTATAAAGTACACTGTTCCCTTTAAAGATTTACCCGTGTCCTCGGTATAGTCTTCTTTTCCGTATCAAACTGAGAAGAAGAGACTGCAGCCTTGATCAAACTTGCGAAGTCTGAACTTACAAGAAGAGGATGCGAGACTGAACTGTGTGTGGGCTACTTAATATTGAGGAAAAGCCCCAATCAGATAGGCGAACGTCTGCAGCCCCGCCTCCCTTTTCAGATGTCTCCGTCTTTCCCCATCCACACTGAGACGGAGCAGCAGCGTTTTAGAATGAAAACGGTCTCTCCGGCGTTTTCAAAAAGCTCCGTTTTCGGCGCTCGAGAACTCCGGCGTAGTGCGGACGGATGGCGTAACCGTAGCAAAACTTATGCGTTTTCAAACTAAAACGCATTAGTGTAAACGGGGCCTAAGGAAGAGATGGTCCCTAGCAGGCGGGGCTTTCCCCCCTCTGATGACACGTACAAAGGGAGAACATCAATTAAAGTGTTTCTGCAGACTGTTTTTATCAAGGCTGATTATAAACAATACAATTAATACAGTTTACCATTAGGAGCTGGTTAAAATCACACACTGCTGACACACATCTGCGTTTAAACCCCTTATTAAAGTGACTTTTTGCATAATAGGTCTCCTTTACAAAAAATGTCCTGGGGATACGCTGAGCTCTTGTAATAAAAATCTTGTCTAGCAGTCAATTTCACATCAGAACACAACATGTTTTAATAATGAGGAAGGCTTGACCGTGGTTACATGCTGCTGGAGCATCATTCTTTAACAAATACAAATGAGTGAACATTGAGTGACCAAATCGGCATCTAGTGTAATCTGTTTATGTCTGGTCTCAAAAATAAAATCTTTCAGAGGCGGCATGGTGGCTCAGTGGTTAGCACTGTGGCCTCACAGCAAGAAGGTCGCTGGTTTGAGCCTTGGCTGGGTCTGGGTTGCAGCTGGAAGGGCATCTGCTGTGTAAAACATATGCTGGAATAGATGGTGGTTCATTACACTGTGGTGACCTCTGATAAATGAGGGACTAAGCCAAAGGAAAATGAATGAATGAATGAGTGAATGAGTGAGTGTCTTTCATTTATGCTCTGGTCAGTCGTTTGCACTTTAAACAAAAGCAACTGGATTATCGTTTATACTAGATGCCGAATAAGTCACTCAATGTTGACTCATTTGTATTTATTGAAGAATGATAATGCAAAATTGTTCAGCCCTGTCACTAATTCACAAGCACACACACACACACAGAGACACAGACACACTCACCCTCCAGTATTTGGAGCACACCACCAGTAGTGAGAGCTGAGTGAAGGTGCAGAAAGAAATGCTCTGACAGCCCTGACAGTAGATCGGCTTCGACTCTTCCTCAAACACTGGGTCCAGATCCTGCTCACACACACACCCGTAAAACACATATGCACGCGCGCACACACACATACACACCCACAAATGCACATGCGCGCACACACACAGACACCCAAATTATTACACACATATGCGCACACACATACACACCCACAAATGCACATGCACATGCACACACACACACACACACACACACACACACACACACACACACACCCAATTGACCGCACACATATGCATATGCACACACACACACACACACACATACATAAATGTAAACACAGACAAAAAGATTATTATTTTTGTGTTGTACAGACACATGCATACAAGGCCAAATAAATAAATAAAAAAACATTCTGTATATTTATGTAAAAAATCTTTACATGTGTATAAATAATTTTTATTTTAACAAATTACATCATACACTCTATACAGGGAAAAAAAAAGAAGAATAAATAAATAAATAAATAATATTTTTTAAATTAAATATATAAGAAAAGAAAAATAAATAAATAAATAAATGTTATTTAAATTAATACATATGAAAAAAATAAATAAATATTATTTAAATTAAAAATATAAGAAAAGAAAAATAAATAAATAAAATAAATATTTTTTATTAAATATATAAGAAAAATAAATGAATAAATATTTTTAAATAAATAAGAAATGAAAAATAAATAAATAAATAAATATATTTTTTTTATTAAATATATAAGAAAAAAATATATATATATATATATATATATATATATTATTATTATTATTATTATTAAATATATAAGAAAAGAAAAAAATTAATAAATATAAAAAATGAAAAATAAACAAATAAATAAATAACTTTTATTTTTTAAATTAAATATATAGGAAAAGAAAAATAAAATTAAGAATTTGTAATACTTTAATATCATTGTACATAATAATTGTAGTGGTCAAATTCTCAAAGTGTGTTTACTGATGTGTGACTGAACAACTCACCTGCATTCTGCTGACGTCAGCAGTGATGATCCACACCTTCAGAATACCAGTGACTGAAACTGCCACCACTGTGTCCTCTAAACAGCACACACACAAAAAAAAAAATCACAATTAGTCTACAGCATTTTGTTGGTATGTTTTAATTAATTAAAGGTAATAAATTAAATATTAAATAAATATTATAGGAAATATTTAGAATTCAAAATAAATAAATTAAAATAACGGTATAACAAAAAATGTTAGCGTTTTGAAAAACCCTGACTTGAAACCAGTTATCTTCCCATTTCCAGGCAGCAGTTACCTTGTGTGCGATGCGAGCGGATGATGCTCATAGAGCTGATCCAATCCGGTGAAATCTTGGACACAAGCGAATAAAGCACCTCCAGACTGGTGGCGTCCATCACAAGGATTTCTGGGTAATGTCCGTGACACAAGAGACGACCTTCTCTCTGTGTGCCGATGGTGAACTGATAAAACTGTACAAAGAATACAAACATTCAGAAATAATTTCAATGTTTTATTGGTGATACAACAATAAGGTTGTATCAGTTAATGCAAGTCAAAATTATTCATGTGATTTTCTCAAATGTTTCCCAAATGATGTTGAACAGATTCAGGAAATTTTCACAGTATTTTCTATAATATTTTTTCTTCTGGAGAAAGTCTTATTTGTTTTATTTGGCTAGAAAAAAAGCAGTTCTTAGTTTTTTTAAAACCATTTTAAAGTCAACATTATAATATCGGTTCTTAATCTCATATATAAATCATATAAATGAATAAATGAGGCAATTTATTAAGAAACGAAATTTATTATTTATTAGGAAATTAAAAAATTATACTTTATTAATAATATTAATGATGATGTTTATTATTATTATTATTATTAAGTAGGATAATGTTTATTTATTTTTTATTTTTTTGAAAAGTCTACTTCTACAATTTGACATGTAAACCACTGCAGACATGTTCTAACTAACAGGCCCATGTCATATACAGCACAGATACTTCATAAATAACCAACTCTAAATTAAAAGCATTAACGTATGCTGTTTTTTGTTTTCACAAGCTTTGGAGAAGTAACGTAAACTCCGCTTTCAAATAATAGGTCACCTATAGCTTTCGTCATGAGGCTTTGTTCAAAATAACATCAATGGTTTCCAAGTGCACTGCGAAGGGAGCGCAATTGTAAACATGAAGATCGCTAAAACTGAACTATAAAAATAGTTTGAAAGCAAATTACACCTAAGAGAGATGACTTTAATGCTTTTTTATTTTTAATCATTCCCAGCTTAAATGTTAGAATGTTCTAAATGAGTAGGGCATAGGGGGGATAAGTGGGAATAGAACACAGCCTGGAACTACAGCTATGTTTCTAACTACAGCTCAAGAGGTGTAGTTGTAAGTGCACAAGTTTGCGACACAGTTTGCAAATGTTCGTTGGAACGACAAATTTGAGAAAATGGCAAATCAACAAGCTATGTTTGTAACGACGGAACTTGCGACCTTAGTTGGCTAACGATGGTTTTGGGAAACACACCCCTGGAAGGCGAATAATTCTGACTTCAACTGTATATACGAACATGAACAAACAATGAACAGTACATTTATTCATACATTTATTCATCTTTACTAGCATTTATTTATTAATTATCAATAGTTTATTAGTTATTTAATAGTTAAACAGACTTAAATTACAAAACACTAATGCTCACTGTACATAAGCGTGCCTAACTGACCCTTCCCTTCCCATAATGTCAATTATTTATTAGGCATTTTAAGGTTTTATGGTTTATTTTTTTTAATGTTGATGAAAGTGGGTTACCCAAAACTCCCATTAACCACATTTCAAACTATTACAATTCATACAAGTACCTATTTAGGTAATATAAAAAGGGCAAGAATGTAGCCTAATATTAATATAATGAAATCAGACCAAAATTAGATCACCTTTTATGCCCTAATATGGAAAACTTCAATAATAGGGTGTCAAAACTTTTACACATGGCTGATCTGCATGAAAACAATGGATGCTTGATCATATTTTATTTCCATGCTTTTGTAAATAATTTAGCAAGATATTCTTGTTTTGCATTCGTCAGGAAACAAAAGCCTTCTTCAGCTTTTGGAAATGACTGAAATTAAAAGACTCTTTCCTAGGCATGGGATGATAACCGTTTTATTAAGGTGTACCATGGTTTGGAAAAGTCAAGGGTTTAAAACCGTCAAAACTTTCTGCAATACCATTCCTAAGGTATGTGTAAGATTTTTTTATTCATGTTTTTTTTAGGACAACAATATCTCCAGCCGAAAAGATGCTGTTTTATATTAAATATTTATTGAAACAAATTAAGGCCGCAGAAGTCAATAATTTATTTAGCCTTAATTTAGTTTACTGCTTTAAAATATTTTAAATGTTTCTCAAAATAAATCAATTGTCTTTAAAAGGGAAAAAGTTGTAGTTTTTTACCCAGACATTTAAAAAGAATATATTTCAGAGCAGAAATCGCAATACCGTGATATTTTTATCTAAGGTTATCGTACCGTCAGAATCTTACACCGGCCCATGCCTACTCGCTCCACCAGAGCATATTTCACTTCAGTATTGCAGTGCCATTACATACATTTACTTCATCTTGGCTTTTTGCAAGTAAGTTTAATGATGTTAGAACAGTTCTGGTCAGGTAAATGTCCGACCAAATCTCATCCATCAGTTCTGTGTTTAGATGAAAGTGTTACCTGTATACCGGTGTGTGCACAGGCCAGTTTGGTGAACTCAATACAGCGTCCGTCATTGACGTCCCATAAACACATTTCCCTGCGCCAAACAGAAAACACAGCTAAGGTGAAACTGCAAACATTTCATCAGCTGAAAATCAAATGCACCATCTGAACATGCTTTAGCTGCATTTACACTGCACATCTTGATGGTCAATTCCGATTTTGTGACTGTATCTGATTTTTTACATCATCTTTTAGAAGTGACTCGTATCCGATCGTCTGCATTTACACAGCACACGGCAAAGGTGCAATGACCAGGAGAAAAAAAAAAAAAAAAGAGCGGGCGCTGACTAACAGCTGATAATTAAAGCGTGCTCTTTTCTCTATTCCTGTATGTAATCTGTTCGCTGCTTTTGACAAGCTGTTTTACTATAGTTTACGACAGAAAGCTTCTCATTTGTCCATCTTCTTTTGATATACTGGCTTTTTTAAAATCTTTAGGCATCTTAATGTAATGTCCATGGCGTGATTTATGCACGTGATGTAGCTATGCACTAGTTTTATATTAGTTTATATTGGTTACGTGGTGGACACTGCGCTCTCTTGCTCTCGTTAACATGCTTAAATACCTGTGTAATATGACAATATGAAAGCTGTGTGAGTCCTCGTGTATGAGATTTAAGGTTTGGGACTGCTGAAGTCTGATCTGAAAGGAAAGTGTCAGATTTGACATCATTCGCTTTGGTTTTAATGACGCGCGACTCGCATTGACAGGTGGAAATCCGATCTGCCTGCTTACACTGCAGACATGACAACACAGATCCGATTCATAACGGATAAGTTTCCACATATGAACTAGGCCTGAATCTGATTTGAGTAAATTAGAATCCATGTGATTTGTTCCTGCTTACACGGCCATATCCAATCTGTGCCACATGAGAGAAAAACATTGGAACTGAGTCACTTGAACAGTGTAAATGTGGCATTAGAAAAGAACAAACACCACAGTGGCAAATCCCAACACATCGAACTATATTCTCTGGCTGATATTTGCTCCAGTTTATCAGGACGTAATGATTTTATTCTCTTTTTATACTCTCATTAGATGGAAATGCTGCTTCATTCACAAATATTTTATGCCAAATTACAGTTTTGCATATAAATCTAATTCACATCTTTGACTGGACTCATAGATAACGTCTGTTTTTTCCTTAGCATTCTTCAGTATATCTTCCCTTGTGTTTAACAGAAGAAAGAAACTCAAACAGGTTTGGAACAAGTGAGTAAACGATGACAGAATTTTCATTTTTGGGTGAACCGTCCCTTCAATCATGTTTATGACAGATTTATGACAAGTTTGGTTATCTTGATAATGTTGTCATGACAAAGACAAAAACAGGTTGTGATGCATTTGTTTATGTCAAGCTGTCGTAACAAACAATGTCATCCTTGCATTTAAAATGACATGACTGAGCAAATGACACTTGTTATAAGTTGTTATAAGCATGCATAAAATCTCGTTTACATTCATGATGTGTTTTATAAAGACCCCTTTAAGTAAAGTGTTACCATTAAAACACGTTCTCACCCGCTTTCAGAAGCGCTGACGAGGTACTGTTTTTCACTTCCTGCGCTGGCCTTGGACAGACAGGTGACGGAGGCGGTGTGTCCAAACAGCAGAGCACGAGGATTAATCTGAAAACACAAACACACACACACACACACACACACACACACACACACATAAACAAACACACACACACACACAAACAAACAAACAAACAAACAAACAAACACACACATACACATACACACAAACATAAACACACAAACACACAAAAACAAACAAACAAACAAACACACACACACACACACACAAAAAAAAAATAACATCAGATCATCCACAGCATTTTAGTGACCTTCATAAAAACACTCCATTAATTTATTTATTTCTATACAATAATATCCATATCAATATTAACGCTTGGGCATTGAGTATTGTTAATTTAAATTAATGGGATCATTTTAGCTGTTTTAAAGGCGACCCATTATGCAAAAAACACTTTTAGAATTCAGTTGCATGGAATAATACCAGCTTCTAATAGTAAACTGTATTAATTGTATTAGTTATAATCAGACTTGATGAAAACAGTCTGCAGAAACACTTTTTTTATTATTATTATAGTTTTGAAACATTACATAAAGTAATAATCCAAATTTAGATATATATGCTATATCCAGGAACATTACAATAATTACAACAACAATAAATGATAATAAAGCAAAAACATAACAGCAGACAAAAAAAAAACAACGTAATACAAAATACTTCTATACATATAAACAAAAATAATAGCTTAGGACAGTGCTTCTCAAACTGTGGTACGTGTACCCCTAGTGGTACGCAGGCTTCCTTCTAGTGGTACGCGGAGAAAATGTCATGTACATGCTACACACGTTTCAAAATGTATCAAAAATGATGTATATAATATGCCGTATATGACATATAGCCTATATTTCTGAGGTAATCTGCTACGTTTTTTCACTGTGCAGAGTTGTAGCTGCTTTACTGGGCCTACTACGCTACTGTATTTCAATACTGCTCGTTTTGATGGTACTTGGAGACTATTTTTTTCTGAGGTGGTACTTGATGAAAAAAGTTTGAGAACCACTGACTTAGGATACAATCATCGACTACAGCGGGGGATCAGTACCAGAGGAAAATTCCTTCATGAAATCTAACATTAAATCACTCTTATTGTTTGTAGTTTGCATTAGAGACTTTTTCAAAATTTCCATTCCTGACAAAAAGATATTGCATTTTGGTATACACTTCGCATATTTCTGTTTATGTATAAAATATTTACCTTGTAAAATGTAGATGTTAACAACATACTCATATGTTCTTTTTGTGTGTGAAAAAGTGCAAATTACATCTTTTAAAGAGAGCCTGTATTAATTAACATTTCTTTGCCCAAATAACACGTCTCTAACATCCTTCCAAAATTTAAGGGAGACATCACAGTAATAGAAAAGATGAGATCAGTCTTCCTCGTGTATATGCCAGTATTATCAATATCCATGAATTTAGATGAAGTTGCTTTGCAAGGATAAATGTTGTGAAGTAATTTAAAGTGCACTTCTGGCAACCTCTGATCACATATTTTGAAAGAAGGAAGACTCTCTCCTTTAACTGATTTATATAAATAAATCTGTGCAAACAGGTTTAACTGTGATCCCCAATATAGTTCAGTTTGATGATTATGTAAAAGACCACTATAAATGTAACAGAATATTGATTTGTATTATCATGTACTGTAGGGAATTATTTATTTGAATTATTTTTAAAGTTTATTTATTTTTTTAATTTACTATTATTATTTTTTTTATTTATTTATTTACTATTATTATTAATATTTTCAATTTTGCTATACTTTTATCTATTCCTGTTGTAATTGTATTTTAATTTTATTTGTTTGCTAAGTAATGTCAGCAGCAATGTTCAAAATGGGGGGAAAATTACATCCTTAAAATGTACAAAATGTTTTGTTAAAGCTTGAGAAAATAATCACAAATAAATATTTAAAATAAAAAAATAAATAAATAAATAAATAAAGAGCCCTTCTTTGACCTTATTTAAAAGGCAAAATTTAAAAGGGATTGAGCAGGCAGCTTTCCAATTAATATCAATAATTTTTGCTTTCCAATAATAATTCCCTTTTTTTTCCTTTTTTTTTTTTTAAACACAAATTTTGTGTTTAGACTGAAACAATTGTCTATTTTTTTATTATTATATGATGGAGAAAGTATGTCAACACCGTCAATTTTTAATTCTGGGAGTATCTTATTAACGCATCCATAATAAAGGTGATTATTAATTAGTTGTATTAAACCAGCTGGAATACCCTTAACCACTTGATGAAATTCTTTAAAAGGAATTGGAAAGTTATGAATCCTCATAAAATCTTCATAAGAGAGTATGTTTCCATTATCATAGAACAAATCTGTAACAAAATTGTCTGCAGAAACACTTTGATTGACATTCTCCCTTTGTATGATGTCATCAGAGGGGGAAAGCCCCGCCCACTGGTAACCATCTCTTCCTCATTAGTAGGCCCACACGGAATCTGCGCGCACAGAATTCCGCAGATTTTCCGCAGATTTTTAGCCCATCATTAATTCTGTTTATTTACTTGAGTAAATGTGTAAATCTGGATTTATTCAGTTTTTATTCAGTTATTTATTACTTTTTATTTAATATATTAAAGTTTTAGTTATGATAATCCGCTGGATACTGCCAAAATAATTCAGCAGAAATCCGCAGATTTTTACCAAAATTCTCAGCAGAAATAGCATTATTATTTATGCTCATTAGTATATGATGTTAGTCTTATTTTTGAATCTGCAACTATGCCGACACACAGGTATCTGTAGCTCCGCCCCTTTTTTTAAAAAAAGAGCATGATCTCATGTAAAGGGGTGGTCCAGAATGTAATGTTAAGGCTTGGTTGTGTTTAAAAGATGCAAAGCAATGTGTGCTCATGTTTCACTTGAGGGGAATCACGTTATCTCACTTTGATTATACACAGCTACTCAGCTAACATGAAAACGACTGTCATATTTCCTAGTTCCTCTGAAAGGCCCGCCCTTAAGTGACTCTGATTGGTCATCATCATAATGTGCTGCGATTCGCGGATCGGCTTCATGCCACGCCCGTAAAAGCACACTCTTTTCTGCTGTGTGAACAATCAGTCAACCGCAGTAAGTGAAAGTGCAAACTATATTAAAATATGACACTTTTACTGTCTCTATACGTGTATTCTAAATTAACTGGTACGATGTGGTTCAATCTGAGTTTGTTATTTGAGTAAAATGTCCTAAATCAGACACTTGTGACCTCTGACCTCCAGCTCGGGGGTCATGTCCCAGATGCAGATCTGTCCATCATGGCTGCCGGTGATGATGGTTGCCAGATCCTCCATCACCAGCAGGCTGGAGATACAGTGAGTGGGCGCATTGCGACTCCACAGGACGATGGGTAAAACCAGACTGTTTCCTGACATGTTTTCTGCGATACTGTGAAAAGAGAGAGAGAGAAAGAGAAATGAAAACAGAAGCCAGATGAAATCAATTCATTGCTGGAAACTCCAGATAATCATAAATGAGGAATTAAACTAGCTGAGTGAGGGGAACAAATGAAAGCCTAAAACTAAATAAATATAACAATAAATGCACACTATATACATTGAAATTATAATAACTCATTGTAACACATTTAAATGTGTGTGTGTGTGTGTGTGTGTGTGTGTGTGTGTGTGTGTGTGTGTGTGTGTGTGTGTGTGTGTGTGTGTGTGTGTGTGTGTGTGTGATTATTTTATAATTCTTGTTTGTGTAAAGCACTTTGTATTATCACTGTGATTGAAATGTGCTGTATAAATAAGCTTGCCTTGCCTTTCTGGTTTCATTAGGTGTCTGTTTCATTACAATATTAAAAAATTATATTTTCTTTATTTTGCAAAAAAAAATAAAAAATCCTGATGACATTTTTCCAATGTCAAAATAACAAATATGTATATTATGATTGAATTTTTTTTAATTTAAGGGTAATTTTAGAAAATAATGTTTTCTTTAAAAAAAAGTATATTAAAAAATATTAAAAATTAATAAATAAAAGTTTATAAATTATTATAACAAATATCAGAAAACATAGCACCATCTTTGGTCCACTGTAAAACCCAACAGTCAACTTTCTCAAATAAATTAAGTGTAGATAACTAAAATTCACTGAAAATTAATTCTACTCATTTGAACAGAGTTTTGAACTCAGTGTTAAAGGTAATGAGTTAATTAAATACCTTCAACTTAAATGGAGTAAGTTCAATACTCATATAGATTAGTTTTTTTTAACTCAAATGGTTTGTTGCAATCAGTTTCCTCAAATTGTTTGAGTTGCCATAACTTATTGGGTTTTAGAGCAGTTGGTTTGAGTTCTCTTCATTTATTGGGTTTTACTGTTCTCAAATTGCTTTGTTAACTCAAATGGATTAAGTTCACAGTACTCATTAGGATTAGTTTTTGAACCTAAATGTTTTTTTGTAAGCAGTTTCCTCAAACGGTTTGAGTTGCCTTAACTGATTGGGTTTTACAGTACTCCGTTGGTTTGAGTTCTCTTCAGATCTTCAGGGTTAAGTTCAGAAAATCTTTCCATTGTTTTTTTTTTTACATACACACACAAAAACACTAAACAATATTAAAACACTATAAAAATACAACAAATGCAGAAACAACGATCATATACAATTATAAACAATCCTGTTTTTTTCTAGCCCCCCTTTTATTACTATTTCCCAAATGATGTTTAACAGAGCAAGGAAATCTTCACAGTATGTCTGATAATATTTTTTCTTATGGAGAAAGTTTTGTTTGTTTTATTTTGGCTAGAATAAAAGCAGTTTTTGTTTTTTGTGAACCATTTTAAGGACAATATTATTAGCCCCTTTAAGCCTTTTTTTCTGATAGTCTCCAGAACAAACCATCGTTATACAATAACTTGCCAAATTACCCTAACCTGCCTAGTTACCCTAATTAACCTGGTTAAGCCTTTAAATGTCACTTTAAGCTGTATAGAAGTGTCTTGAAGAATATCTATAGTCTAATATTATTTACTGTCATCATGGCAAAGAGAAAATAAATCAGTTATTAGAAAATGAATTATTAAAACTATTATGATTAGAAATGTGTTGGAAAAATCTGCTCTGTTAAACAGAAATTGGGGAAAAATAAACAGGGGGCTAATAATTCTGACTTCAACTGTATAAAAACTGTTTTAATTTGAAAGAGAAAAAAAAATCACAAGTGTCCAAAAAAACCACTAAAATTATGCAATAATGACATTTGTGAAGTCATTTAAGGCATCTTTTAAAGTCGATGAAATTATACAATAACCCACACACCAGTAACTCTTTACCAATATGAAAACATACAACACACTTTAGTAACACTTTAGTTGAAGTAACATTTACTTCTTGCTTATTGCCTGCCTATTAGAACAGTTGATAGCACTTTAAAAATATGATCTTATGCTACATTCCTAATATCAACACCTAAACCTAACTTTCACCTTGCTAACTATTAAATAAGCAGTGAATTAGTAGTTTAATAAGTTTAATAAGTCTCAATTAAGAGTTGTTAATAGCATGAATATATAATAAACAATAAAGTGTGACCATATTTTCTAATACCCAAAGCTTTATTGGATATGCTTGGTGGTTCCCGCTAGTATAACTCCCATACTATATAATGTATCCTGTAAATAGATATACATTTCTTCTCCAGTCATCTCAGCTCATATCAATCAAAGTGAATAAAAAATATTAAGTTGAACTTTGCATAACTTAGCTGAAGCCAACTAGAGCAGCAAACGATCATTAAATCACTGAAATTGACGAACAGCACAGATTAACCTCAAAATGACACTCAAAAATCAATGTCCATCCCTTAAAACAACACACTCAAGCTGCTTCGTTCACAGTATCCAGCCTGACATAACACAACACATTGTGTTTTTTTTTATAATCAAGCCTAAAGATAATTGATAAGATAATTAAAATCACATCAGAATTGATTGGAATTAAACAGATCCACACAATGTTCTTGTTGCGTAAGGCGCAGATAAACGGATGTCAATGATTTTGACTGGAAGTGCTATTGAACACTTCCGGAAGTACTAGTCCAATAAAACAACACAAAATGACAGGCTAGCTTGCTTCAATGCAATATGAGAATAAAAACACAAAGTACATAACAATAATGCAAACTTTAGGTTGTGAAGTGGTGTTATTTTCTAATAATTCAACAGCCAGGAGAGCATTATTCTGCTAGTACTATGGTTAAAGCCAGGGTGCAAAATACAAGGGGGTTTGACAGGGGATTGACTGCCCTAATTAATTCTTGATTCCCCTGAAAAACAGCATGTATGGGGGGGTCAGGTCTCTAAATAGTTATAATAGCAATAGTATAATAGCTCTGATAGATATCTTAAATAACAATATAAACTATTAAAATAATAGATCACTTAATTATACTTCTGACCACCCCAAAACGGCCTATACCAATGTCTATGTGAGAAAAATTCATTGAACAGTCTGAAACTGGCAGTTCTACAGCACCGATACAATCATTTGAGACTTTTCTTGTAAGATTGGTGTTTATTTTGACATATAGCCTAGAACGAAAGTTAATTAGTCAGGTTTTTGTCCTCAATCTGCTCCTGTGTGTAGCACTGGTTTCTTCGACATCTCATCTAAAGCCTTCAGTTGTGTTTTTTGACATAACTGAAATCACTCAGTGTACTGATATGGAGCTGTAATGCGCTCAAAACCTGCCGGAACTACTTTAGCTGTGCATTTATCTGACAATAACGGCACACCATAGAATGCCCATCGGCCAATCAGAATCAAGCATTCAACAGACATGTAGTAGGATCAGATATATATCATTTACATAAGCACACTGACAAAAATATTCACTGAATTCACTACTTTTTTTTTTAAAGGTAAAACTAAATTTAGCTTAAGTTCAGCCTATAACAATTGTTTGCAACCACTTACTTAAAAAAAAAAAAAGTAGTAAATCCAACAAACCATTTTTTTTCAGTGCAGTAAAAAACTAAATCACTCGACTTTCCAAAGTGTGCCAGAATTTACTGAGAGCTCCAAGAAAAGCAATTGTTCAGTAAACCCAGATCATTTTAAAACTCAACTTACTCCACTTGTCCTGTTAGTAGTGCAATAACAGTAATGCAGATCAATTAAAAAAGCTTTTCAAATACATCCTAATTGTCCAAACACATGATCACACTTTATTTTAAGGTACAATTCTTGCTATTAACTGTGAATATTAGCTCAATAAACTCCTCATTTGTTGCTTATTAATAGTTATTAAGGCAGAAGCTGAGTTTAGGTATTGGGTAGGGATGTAGAATAAGATCATACTTTATAAGTACTAATAAACAGCCAATATCTACACAATACACACTGAAAAAAATGATGCACTGGATTTACTGCATTTTTTAAGTTAACTAGTTGCAAGCAATCTATATGTGCTGAATTTAAACAAGCAAATTAAGTTGAACATTACTAAATGTCATTTGTTTAAATTCAGCCCATATCAATTGTTTGCAACCAGTTACCTTAAAAAAAAGTATATGCAATTAATTATTTTATTTAGTAAAGAAACAAAATTACAGGATTTACCAAAATATAATTTAATGAGAGCTAAAAGAAAAGCAATTGTTGAATAAACCCAGATCAAATCTCCATTTACTCCACTTGTCCTGTTAGTATTGCAATAACTGTAATGCAGATCAATTAATAAAGCTTTCAAGTACATCCTAATTGTTCAAACACATGGTCACACTTTATTTTAAGGTACAACTCTTGCTATCAACAAACCGTGACTATTGGCTCAAACTCTTAATTAGCTGATTATTAATAGTTATTAAGGCAGAAGCTGGGTTTAGGTATTGGGTAGGGATGTAGAATAGGATCATACTTTAGTAATAATAAACAGTCAATATCTATACAAATTATAGACTGAAATAAAATAATTTATTGGATTTACTACATTTACGGTAAGAGGTTGCAAACAATCTATATGTGCTGAATTTAAACAAGCAAATTAAGTTGAACATTACTAAATAGAATTTGTTTGTTTAAATTGAGCCCATATCAACTGTAAATCCAATGAATTATTTTATTTAGTGAAGTAAATAAACAAAAATCAGGGTTTTTCTAAAATGTAATTTAATAAGAGCTCAAAGAAAAGCAATTGTTTAGTAAACCCAGATCAAATCTCCATTTACTCCACTTGTGCTGTTAGTATTGCAATAACAGTAATGCAGATCAATCAAAAAAGCTTTCAAATACATCCTAATTGTCCAAACACATGACCACACTTTATTTTAAAGTACAACTCTTGCTATTAACAAACCATTAACTGAATATTAGCTCAATAAACTCCTGTCTGTTTTTAATTTTTATTATTTGTTTTTTATTTTCTTATACTTGTCTTTTTTTATTCCTGTTCATGTGAAGCACTTTAAAATTGCTAGTGTGTATGAAATGTGCTATATTAATATACTAGCCTTGCCTAATTTACTGCGTATTAATAGTAAAGGCAGAAGCTGGGTTTAGGTACTAGAAATGTAGAATAAGATCATACTTTATTAGTAAAAAAACAGCCAATATCTTAAATTATACACTGAAAAAATGATTCATTGGATTTACTGTATTTTTAAGTGGTTGCAATTAATGTATATGAGCTGAATTTAAACCAATACTACATTTAATTTATTTAAATTCAGCTCATGTATATTGTTTACAGCCAGTTATCTTAAAAAATTGTAAAACCAATTAATTAATTGTTAGTGTACTATTTAATAACTTTACAAAAAAAGTGACCTTACTTTACAAAAAAAAGTAAATTTAGAACTTAAGTTAATTTAACGTAACTTTTATATTATTTTGCGCATGGTTTATGGTTTATTGACTTAAATTTTAAGACAACAGGTTTACTCACTTATTTTAAGTCTACTAATCATTTTTACAGTATAGTATGACACCAGTTAATGTTGAGAATTGATGCTTAAATATAAAAGTGTTACCAAACACACAAAGACCGACCTGACATGATTGCGTCTCCTCAGATTAAACCTGAACCTGCGAAACGCGCCTTTCATTTTCACTAAATGAACCAGCTTCATCCTGAAATGACTCCTTTGCAGATTCGGAAACAATAGAAGTGTGTGTCCCAATGCTGTCGACTCTCTCTCGGTCTGTCTGGCACTCTCAGACGAGTCAAAGCAAACCCTTTCAGACCGATCAATGAGCGCTCAACCATACAGACAGACACAGATTTACTGACCGCAACAGCCAATCAGCACAGAGGATTCAGATCTTCATCAGTGTCCACACATGCACCAATATACACTGAAAACCATATAATGTAACAGATCACAAGGGTAGCCACAGTGGCATGAACCACCAGTTATTATTACACAGCTGATGCCCTTTCAACCACAACCCAGTTTTGGGAAACACCCATACACACTCATTCACACACACACTCATACATTAGGGACAATTTAGTTCATCAGTTCCCCTATAGCGCATGTGTTTGGGCTGTGGGGGAAACCAGAGCACCCAGAGGAAACCCACACGAACACGGGGAGAACATGCAAACTCCACACAGAAACACCAACTGTCCCAGCAGAGACTCAAACCAGCGACCTTCTTGCTGTGAGGCTAACCAGTACATCAACATTCAGAAATAGAGGTCTCAGCAACTTCAATTTCCCACAGACTTTAAAGAGACTTTTGAATCTATTCAAATTATCTCTTGGTCTTCAAGTCAGAATAAGTTAGGACACAGATATTTTGGTCATTAAATAACCATTACTTCACGCCTGTTTTTACAGTTTAATTTACAGTATATGAAACATTAATGTAGACATCTGATTCTTACATTTAATATGCTTTGTATGCATCTAGGCTCGGCGCCACGGGGGGCGGGGGATGGAGGGGGGCATTGCCCCCACAGAAAGAGTTTGTGCCCCCCAGTTTTCATAAAGGATTGTTCAAAACTGAAAACTCTTTCTGTCATTAATTACTAACACTTCCGTCATTCCAACCTTCAGAACACACATTTAGATATTTTATAATATGAAATAGCAAATTAAATTATGAAAATTGTGAGATTAAAGAAATAGTCGGAAGATCTGATCCCTGCATCAGGTCAGGGTGTGCCCGTATAGCCTTTAAAGTGTGCACACGGCAGCGAAGGCCCACTCTAGAAGACTGGACTGTATGACCAACACAATCTCACGGCAATTCGTAACTTTTTGATTTAGTGGCTAATTCGTATGAATTCGTACGATCTAAATCGTACAATTAGGTACGACTTGCTCATCCCCCAATGACAGTTGGGTTTGGGGGTGGGGTTAGGTGCCACGCCTCCTTTTTAAATTCGCACAATTTCATACGACTGAACTCGTACGAATTCGTACGAATTAGCCACTAAACTGGCAAAACGTAAAATACTTACGTTTTCTCGTGAGATCAGGCTGGTATGACAGGTGCGCAGCCTAATTCATTACATGTTTTGTTTAACTAATTCTTTAAAATCTTGAGCTCTAAATGTAAAAAACGCAGAAGAAATCTGACGCTAAATTCATTTTAGCAAAGACGCAACTGCCTGTCGTTTTCACATTAGTTTTTCAGTTATAGGGGATATGTAACCTAATAACAATGTTTAGTTCACTGCACAGTCCCAGAGTAGTCTACACTGTATTTAATATTATAATTGAATATATTCATTATTATTAATATTATTAAAATGAACCCATGAAATTGACAAAACGCAGAACCCTTTTGAATGTTTGCTTTCATTTTCAAATTGCTAAAGCCAATTTTACAGTTTTGTAAAGAAACATCCCATTATGCAGCAGCATTAAGTTAGGACACTCAAAAATGCCTTTATAGAGGATCGGCCTGCCAAGTCAAGTTTACAGTGTTATAAATGAAATGGGTATAGCCTAGTGACTAAGTAAGTGGATTTGCCGCAGATCAACCTCTCACATGCGCTGCCTACCTGCTAAATGTTTTATTATAATAACTAGGAATGTAACGGTATCAGAATTTCACAGTACTGTAATACCTCAGTATGAATGACACGGTGCAGTATTTATTGAGTAATTTACAGGAAAACAAAACTAATGAAAAGACTCGAAAAAAGTGCCCAAAGTGTTTATTTACCTTAGCACTGAATATATTAATGACATACAAATCAGCCATCTATCTGTAAGCTTCGAAAGAGGAACTTCAATTTTTAAATTTTAATAACAAAAAACTATTAAACCATATAAAAAAAATAGTTTCAATTTAGTATTGTTGAAAACTCATCACATTCAACATTTAATCACTCACTCACTTAGATAGAGATGGGTTTTTTAAAGAAAATGATCATATAACTATAATCTGGTATGAGCTGGGGTCTCTGGGCATGTCCCCTGCAACAGAAAAACCCCTTTCATTTAGGACTGAGGTTTCTGGGACAGAGAGATATGATTTAGTCAAGGTGGACAGCAGTGGGTAACGTTGTGCATTGTCTTTCCACTACTTGAGAGGACAAGCCATGAGTGAGATAGAGGTCTGTTTGCGGTACAAGTCAATGTCTGCATCAATCTGAACAGTGTGCTGTGTTCTGCAGTCCCCATGACTGTTATTAGTCGTATTCCCCGACTTATATCTCACCACAGTCTGGCAGTGCCTGCATACTGTTTTTTCTTTGTCTGTCACCTTTTCTCCTTTTTCGTATCTTTTTAGAAAGAAACCGAAATGCTTCCACACATCTGATTTAAAACCCGCTTTAGGTTCGATCATTTCCAGCTCTTTTTCTTCCCCGCTACTAGCAGCACACTCCATTTCCACATTACTGGATCTGTAGTGACAACAGACCACAAAGGATGATGGCAGCGCCAAGGCTGATGGGAATTGTAGTTCCCGCTACCTCCCGTTCGCTTCATTCGACTAAGCAAACTTTTCTCAGAAATATAGTTTTATTGAGTCATGCGGCTACGGTAATATTGAAAAACATTACTATTGTGGTATGACGGTATTTACAATATTGTTTCATCCCTAATAATAACTGAAGCTTTTTTTAGGTATCTTTTTAATGTATTTCTAGTGCCCCCCTATGGGATTAAAATGCCCCCTCAGTTATGACATCCTGGCGCCGGGCCTCTATGCATCATCAAATGTAATTTGCAAACGTAAAGACCAAAACGCGGGATATCTGATCTCTGAATCACATTTATATATGCACAAACAGATATTACAACACTAATAAATGCCCTTCAGATTCTGTCTGGACGAACAAATAAAATAATTACAGCAGGAATAAAAGTTAGGCTGACAGAGAAAATGGCTAACAATCTCTATCGATATAACAGAGAAACGACAGACTTCAGCTTTTAACACTGTTTGAAATGAAACACTCAAGCCAGTCAACAGCAGATTTATTCACTTGAACACTTTTACTGATGTAATAGTGGTTTTATATGCGCACATTCATTTAATAACAGCGTGTGACATGCATCCTATATTGTTTACTATGGTACTTTGAATATTCAGTATGAAATCACCTGTGAATATGACTTCAGAACAACATTAGCTCTACTTATTTTACTGTAAACAGTGTTGTACTTTGATAGCCACTGGCTGCTAATATGATTTCCCCATTTACAATATGCAAAGAATACTTTTCTGCCATTACATCATCAAGGAGAAAGTGTGAATGTGTGACTATAAAACCAACTTTACCTCAATAACATTCTTATTTAGACTGAATAAATATCTGAGCAGTAAATAAATGCTATGTTAGCCCATAATGTTGATGAACACGTCATGTTTAATCTGTGTTAACATCATATAACGTTTATTTAAAGATATAAGTGTGTTTGTACACGCACATATGGGGTGTGTATCTTCATTATATGTTGCCTGTGTATGTTAATAACGCCTGAATGATGTTAGCGTGTGTGTTTGTGTATGTGTACACTGACCTCTGGCCCGTTCATCAGTGTGTTTATCGTCATTATTATGTGACGCCGCGTGTGTATTGTTTGTCCGAGTGTGTGTCGGATGAAGTGTCGGTGTGTTTTTTACTCACCGGAGCTGCTGTTTTATCGTTTCATTGTAGTTTTGCCGTTGATTTAATGAAAATATCGCAGCGACGCTGGGTAATTCCGCAGCGGCTCACTGATCAGCTGACGGGAGCACGCTCGTGCGTCGTTGCGTTATAAGCTGACGTCACGGCACGTGCTATGCCGCCCTCTATCATTCACACTGCAATAATATTAACGTTACTTGAAAAACATCATATTTATGTAAAGATATGGGCTAAAGTTAAGCCAAATTGTGAACATTTCACAACTGAGAATTAATAATATGTACTAAACCGTGTAACATTAGAAACAGAAAAGCTTAAAAACATTTCTAAAGCATTATGTATATTTAATTTGGTTTATTGAACTAATAAATTATAACTATTCGTTTATTTGTACCCCTTGCAATTGATTATACTTTGATTGTATTCTGTTAATATGCTTTCTGACATTTTTATTTTGTTTTATATTTAAAGATGTTGTTAAACGTCTTGTACTCAGGGATGGGCAAAATTCATTGAAATGTATTTTTAAATAATCTTAATATTAAGTGTATCAAAATATACTACAAAATACAGCAGCCAGAAAATTATCAAAATAAAATTTTGTATTTTATAACTACGACAAAATACTTTTACAAAAGAGCATGACATTTCTTCACAAAGCTTCCATCAACAGGCCTGATCAATCCCTTCACCATTAAACTGACTCAGTGAAGTAAGCATTGCTTGATAACAACTAATAGTAACTTGTGTTTCTGGCTGAGTTTTATATAAAAGTATGAGTTATATTCATCCATCCCTCTTTCTCATTCTTCATCCATCCATCCATCCATCCATCCATCAATCTATCTATACAGTTGAAGTCAGAATTATTAGCCCGCCTTTGATTTATTTATTTATTTATTTTTCTTTTTTTTTTAATATTTCCCAAATTATGTTTAACAGAGCAAGGAAATGTTCACAGTATGTCTAATAATATTTTTTCTTCCGGAGAAAGTCTTATTTGTTTCATTTCGGCTAGAATAAAAGCAGTTTTTAGATTTTTAAACACCATTTTAAGGCAATTTTATTAGACCCCCTTGAGCTATATTTTTTTCTGATAGTCTCCAGAACAAACCATCATTATACAATAACTTTCCTAATTACCCTAACCTGCCTAGTTACCCTAATTAACCTAGTTAAGTCTTTAAATGTCACTTTAAGCTGTATAGAAGTGTCTTGAACAATATCTAGTCTAACATTATTTACTGTCATCATGGCAAAGAGAAAATAAATCAGTTATTAGAGATGAGTTATTGAAACTATTATGATTAGAAATGTGTTGGGGAAAAAATCTGCTCTCCTTTAAACAGAAATTGGGGAAAAAATAAACAGGGGGGCGGGGGCTAATAATTCTGACTTTAACTGTGTGTGTATATATATATATATATATATATATATATATATATATATATATATATATATATATATATATATATATATATATATATATATATATATAATATATATATATATATATATGTATATATATATATATATATATATATATATATATATATATATATATATATAGACTCACCAGTACCTATACACTCACCATTTCAGCAATATAACAAGATAGTTTAAACCTTTTTTTTTAACCATCTTGAGGCAATTCATTCTGCAGGGTTCAAACACATTTCTATGTATGACTACTAAAATTCCAAGACTTTTCCATGATGTTTCCAAAACTTTCAAGTAAACATTCATGACCTAATGTTTAAGTTATGTCTATATACAGTACATGTAATAATTAAGTAATTTAAATTTATTACAGCATATCAAAGAATGAGACAATCTACACTCACTGGCCACTGTATTAGGTACACCTTACTAGTACCAGGTTACTGGTTACTGTTACTGGAAATATTCCTCAGAGATTTTCCTCCATATTGACATGATAGGATCACACAGTTGCTGCAGATTTGTCGGCTGCACATCCATGATGCCAATCTCCCGTTCCACCTCATCCCAAAGCTGCTCTATTGGATTGAGCTCTGGTGACTGTGGAGGCCATTTGAGTACAGTGAACTCATTGTCATGTTCAAGAAACCAGTCTGAGATGATTCACGCTTTATGACATGCTGCGTTATCCTGCTGGAAGTAGCCATCAGAAGATGGAGACACTGTGCTCATAAAGGGATGGACATGGTCAGCAGCAATACTCAGGTAGGATGTGGCGATGATGCTCAATTGGTACTAATGGACCCAAAATGTGCCAAGAAAATCTCCCCCACACCATTACACCACCACCAGCAGCCTGAACCGCTGATACAAGGCAGGATGGATCCATGCTTTCATGCTGTTGATGCCAAATTCTGAGCCGAGCATCTGAATGTGTCAGCAGAAATGGAGACTCATCAGAGCAGCAACGTTTCTCCAATCTTCTATTGTCCAGTTTTGGTGAGCCTGTGTGAATTGTAGCCTCAGTTTCCTCGTCTTAGCAGACAGGAGTCTCCATTTCTGCTGCCACATTCGGATGGTCGGGTCAGAATTTGGCGTCAACAGCATGAAAGCATGGATCCATCCTGCCTTGTATTAATAGTTCAGGGTGGTGGTGGTGGTGTAATGGTGTGGGGGATCTAAAAGCTATACTTGTGTTGTAGAATAACCAGCTAATAGCTAGCCCATATAAAAAAAGGTGTAGGCTGTTTTCAGGAAACCCTTGATTTAAAAAGGCATTAACAATATCCTATTGCAAACTCATTTCTAATTTTTAACTATGAAAAGCTCAAGAAGTGACTTGTATGGGCATATATAATAGTTTGCAGTGCTATATTGTCTATGTTGGTGTTGTATATTACACTACAAAAACTTTGTAATAACCTGCCAGTACATTTTCTGTTATTTTACACACTTATTTCTCTAGATATTATTCCTTATGGAGTTTGCATGTTCTCCCTGCCTTCGCGTGGGTTTCTTCCGGGTGCTCCGGTTTCCCCCACAGTCCAAAGACATGCGATACAGGTGAATTGGGTGGGCTTAATTGTCCGTAGTGTGTGTGTGTGTGTGTGTGTGTGTGTGTGTGTGTGTGTGTGTGTGTGTGTGTGTGTGTGTGTGTGTGTGTGTGTGGATGTTTCCCAGAGATGGGTTGCAGCTGGAAGGGCATCCACTGCGTAAAACTTGCTGGATAAGTTGGCGGTTCATTCCACTGTGGCAACCCCAGATTAATAAAGGGACTAAGCAGACAAGAAAATGAATGAATGAATTAATTATTCCTTATACATTACATTTCAAATGAGTAAACTGCTAATAAAGTCACTTTGTTAAACTGTAGAGTTGAATTTTCAACATCCGAAATCTACAGATCAACATCCCATAATGCAATTCACAATTATAAATACCCCAAAAATACACAAATGTTGAATAAAGAAGATAAACACTAGAGAAAGTCAAAGCAAAACACATCAACATCATGGCAGCTTTTAAAAGATGGGCTTTTATTCATGGCTGCGAAACGAACAGAACCATGAAGAAATCACAATAATTGTTTTTAAAACTGTATTACATACAATTGCTTTCAGAAAAGAAGATCAGTGTCGAGAGACTGAACAGAGACTTCAAAATGAACGGCTTGAAATGAAACCATCAGACATTAGTGACGTATCCAGAAAACAGCTGCTGGGGAAAAAACATCGAGAGAAAAGTGCAAAGACAAACAAGTCCATAATGCCATGCAGCGCTCCAGACCCTGCTAGTGTTTCTAGAGGAGATAAACACCGCATCAGGCCAGAAACACCCACAAAAACCCAGACTCCAGTTAGTATTTCACTTATTTACCTGCATTAACTCCACAGACATCTGATTGTAGAGAATTATTAGTATTATACTGCAGGGGTTAGTCGTTTAATGAAGGAATATTGAGAAATCTGTAGAGAAACGTGCAAATCGTAATACAGCGGACATTATAATGGGCATTTTGGCGCATAGATTCACTGCAAATGTTCATCATCACAATGAGAAACGTGTTGAGATTACTGAAATACAGAAAAATTAATTACAATGGTGTGAAATAAAGTTAAATGGAATATTAAAATAAGTATTTGTTATAATAAATATACAGTAAATCATTAATGAGAATGTTTGTGTGTGTATACGTGTGCAAAGAAAATCTTCAGGGTCATATATAAACTGGGACTATGTCTCCAGGTTGACCTGGGAACGCCTCGGGATCCCCCTGGGGGAGCTGGAGGAAGTGTGTGGGGAGAGGGAAGTCTGGGGTTCTCTCCTGAGACTGCTGGCCACCCCGTGACCCGGCCCCAGAAAAGCAAATGAATGAATGAATATATTTATATACATGCATTCATTTTCTTTTCGACTTTGTCCCTTTATTAATCTGGCATCGCCACAGTGGAATGAACCGCCAACATATCCAGCATAAGTTTTACTCAGTGGATGCTCTTCCAGCTGCAACCCAACATTGGGAAACACCCATACACACTCATCCACTAGACAATTTTAGCTCACCCAATTCTCCTACAGTGCATGTCTTTACACTTGTGGGGGAAACGAGAGCACCCGGAGGAAACCCACGCCAACACGGGGAGAACATGCAAACTCCACACAAATAATGTCAACTGACCCAGCCAGGGCTAAACCAGTGACCTTCTTGCTGAGGCGATTGTATGACTTTTAATATATAAAAACCTTTTAAATGACTTTTATTACTGATTGTAAGCTTTTAAAATGCAGTCCATCATTATCACAGCAGCACTGATGCCAATTCTCCTTCATATAAGCTGTGTTTTTAATTTGTTTTATAAATCCAATTTATTTGGAGTTTTCTCAAATTTGGAACTGCACGTCTCTCACGCTGTATTTAGATGTAAATCTTTACGTTTTTAACTTCAAGAAAGGTTATTCAGAATAATGGAGTGAATATTTTCACAGTGTTATTAGGCAGATGTGCATGTGTGTGCATGTGTGTGTGTGTGTGTGTGTGTGTGTGTGTGTATGAAAACTACTCCGATTACTGAAATACAGGTAAATTATAACAGTAAAAGTGGTATGAAAAAAGATAAGAAGTATATTTGTTATAATAATTATACAATAAATCAATAATGAGAATATTCATGCATTGAAGATTTTCTTTGCACACTTCAAAATCTTAGAATAAATGATAAAGTAATAATTAAAATCTTTTAAATGAATTTTAATAATTATAAGTTTTGAAAATGTCGTCTATTTTCACAGCAGCACTGATGCCGATTCTCCTTCATATAAGCTGTATTTTTATTTTAGAAATGCAATTAATTTGTTTTTTCTTCTTAAATTTGGGCTGAATTATGAACTGCACGTCTCTCATGCAGCGTTTAGATTTAAATCTTTACATTAAGGTTATTCGGAATAATGGAGTGAATATTTTCACAGTGTTATTAGAAAAACACAGCGCAGAGAGTCTGTATGTGTTTGTGTGTTTGTATGAAAACTATTGAAATTACCGAAATAAAGGTAAATTATAATGGCAAAAATGGTATGAAAAAAAGCATATGTTATAATAATTATACAGTAAATCAATAATGAGAATAATCCTGCATTAAGTGTGCGCAAAGAAAATCTTTAGGGTAAAAAATAAAAGTAATAATATCTTTTACAATTTAGTCTATAACTATCACAGCAGCACTGATGCCAATTCTCCTTTAAATAAGCTGTATTATTTATTTATTTATTTATTTATAATTGTCAGGTTGCAATATCCCGAATTTTGCTTGCTAATCTTACGCCCCATTCACACGGGGCTTCAGCGTCAATGCTTGACTGAAGGCGTGTCTGAAGTTAGGGCTGAAGTGATCGTCATAGCAGCGTCAGCCAATGAAATTCAGTCAGCAATAGGCCACTGTCTAGCTGGTGTATTTGCATACAGCGATCTGATTGGCTGACGCTTCCATAAGCTAGTCCCAACTTCTGCAGCGAGCAACGCCTCTGAAGCAGCGCCGACGGATCCACAATGCAGTTCGGCAACGTCTGACGTCACCTATTTAAAGTGAACGGGAAGCGTTGACGCTGACGCCCCATGTGAATGGGGCATTAAGCTAATTGTAATGGTTTGTTTTGGTTTAATTTGGAATTTCCCCAACCAATCGCAGAACTCAGGAGACCAGAGTGAGTGCTCCGACTTGGTCCCCCCGGTCCATTTTTTATTGATTTTATAAACGCAATTAATTTGTGTTTGTCTTCTTAAATTTGGGCTGAATTATGAACTGCAGGTTCCTCACTCAGAAATATGCTGTATTTAGAGGTAAATCTTTACATTTTTAACTTTAAAGGTGTGGTTATTCAGAGTAATCGTGTGAATATTTTCAATTTTTGCAGTGCTATTAGAAAGACTGACTGCAGTAAGTGTGTGTGTGTGTGTGTGTGTGTGTGTGTGTGTGTGTGTGTGTATGCATGTGTGTTTGTATGTAAAATATTTACTGAAAAACTATGGTAAAAATGCCATGCAAAATATTAAAAAGCATATTTGAAATAGTAATTATAAAATTAATTAATAATGAGAATATTTATGCATTAAAATTTTGAAGTGTGCAAAGAAAATATACAGGGTAAATAATAAAGTAATAATTTGAATATTTTAAATGGCTTAATTATAATAAGCTTATAAAATTTAGTCACCCATTTTCACAGCATAATTGATGCCAATTCTCCTTTAAATAAGTTTAATTTTTTATTGATTTTATAAATGCAATTAATGTTTTTCTTGTTAAATGTGGGCTGAATTATGAACTGCACGTTTCTCACTCAGAGATATGGTGTGTTTAGACGTAAAATCTTCAAAAAAGGTTATTCAGAATAATCAAGTGAATAATTTCACAGTGTTATTAGGAAGACACACTTACCGCAGTATATGTGTGTGTGTGTGTATATATGTGTGTGTGTGTCTATGAAAACACCCCCACACACTGGTCTAAATCAATTCAAGACATTGAAGCTTTAATAACGGAGTCTGTGCTGTTTTACAGGACAATAATAGTGTCAGTCAGACCAGCAAAATTAAAGTTACAACAGTGTTTTTGAATAAAACTAGAGCTAAACACAACTAAAAAAATATATATAAAAGCAAAAGCAAACATAAGTGGTCATATTACTGCAGGATGAAGTCACAGCTAGTTTAAAAACAACCTTCACATGTTTAATATGCATGTAAAAAACAAAAACAATGCAGTATTCAGACATGTAAAGCTACGCAAATGCATCTTTGTAGGGCAAATCTCAGAAATAGGTCACATTTCAGCCAAAAATGATTAAGGTTTGTTTTTCACATTTATTCACAAAAAAGCTCAAATGTCATTCAAGTAAATATGACTGAATAAATGTGATATTTTTGAAGCTCCTGTTGTTGGTGTTTTCATATGTCTTGGTGTTTTTTTGTTTGATTGGGCACCCAGGTGAGATAGTGCATGCTTTTGATAAAACTATTTCTATATTTAACCTTTAAAATGACATTTTCCATAGCAATACACACATTTTGAGCCTTTATTATTCTCGATTTGATACTAAATTACTGTCAAATAAGTGGTTTTCGTATGAAAGATGGTTGATATTTAATATGAGTCTTACAACAACGCTGGATAAATAATAAAGCTCTGGACTTATGTTATGAAGAAACGCAATTCTTATCTCTCTCTCTCTCTAGATATTTATATGTATGTACCAATTTGAATGTTATCAGGGTGTTTACTATTTTTGGAAAAAAAATTGAAAACATTTTTAAAAAATATTTTACATTAAAGATTGTGAACATTTGTTGTGCAAGCTTCACAATAAAATATTAATAAAAAAAACTTATTTAATGGAAGAAAAGCAACCTTTGATTTTGATTAATTTCAACAAAACTAATCATTTAGCATTCATTTTACACCCAAAAACAATTGTAACTGTGTGATCTTAATGTTATCAGTGTTAACTGTTTTTGGTGGGGGGGAGATACTTTTGATTCTAATAATACAGATCCACAAAAAAAAAAAAAAAATTATATATATATATATATATATATATATATATATATATATATATATATATATATATATATATATATATATATATATATATATA